AATTGACATTAATTTTGGATTGATAACATCTTTTTTCACAATTATATATATTCAGTTTCTCCGCATTTAAAAAAAAAATTAAACAACGGCAACGAGAAAACGCGAATAAGGGGCAATGAGAAAACGTGCGGTAAACAATGCGCAATGAACTTTATAAATCTTCTTGATTAAGAAATCTTCTTTATTAAAATCAAACATTTCGGCTCTCGTATTGAGCCATCTTTAGTGATAAATAGCATTGGTCAGTAGACGCCGAACTTTAATGTGACTTGATAAAAAGTGTGTCGCTCACGACGGTTGCCAAGTCGTGTGAGGGAGCAAATCTTTCCGTCTTGTCCCTGATAAAGCGGCACACGAATATAGTTGGAATCAAATTCTAATAATATAAGTAGTATAAAATTTCTTTACTCACCACATTAAAGCCAAGCTATACATGGTAGATCGTATAAGCAAAAAAGTTACAGAGATGTTAAAACCAATGGTACGATTATTAAAAACATATCAATCAAAAGACAGTTATATACTGTGTGAAATCGAAAAACGTGATGTGAAAGGAATTGAATTGAAAATAAAAAACAAGCCAGAGGTCAAGAATTATATATATAAATTATATATAAATATATATATAAATATATATATAAATTATATATAAAATTATAATTTGTCAAGAACAGAGACATAAGCATGATGAAGGCATTCTGTATCCGTTTGTAGATTTAACGTATTATTGTTTTGTAGTTTGATAAACAACATCTCTGAGATTAAACGTTTACCACAATCACATTCAGAATCTAAAATTTTAACATTCCCAAGCAAACTCAAAGTGCTTGAAAAGTGGATATAAGTTTGCTTTTTAATAATTGTACCGTTGTACCGTGTTTTAACATCTCTGTAACGTTTCTAACTTTTTTGCTTATGATCTACCATATATAGCTTCGCTTTTAATATGGTGAGTAAAGAAATTTTATACTATTTATATTATTAGAATTTGATTCCAACTATATTCGTGTGCCGCTTTATCAGGGAAGACGGAAAGATCTGCTCCCTCACACAACTTGGCAACCGTCGTGAGCGACACACTTTTTATCAAGCCACATTAGAGTTCGGCGTCTACTGAATACTATTACTACTGAATACAATATTATTTATCACTGAAGATGGCTCAATACGAGAGCCGAAATGTTTAATTTTAATAAAGAAGATTTCTTAATCAAGAAGATTTATAAGGTTCATTGCGCATTGTTTACCGCGTTTTCTCATTGCCCTTTGTTCGTTAATCTTTTTTTCACCTTTGCAAAGTTTCTTTTTTACTTTATATAATTAAAAGTTTGTGTCAATTTTTGATATCATGTTTTTTATAGAAATAATGAAACGACTTTTCAAATAAAAATGAACTATAAAAAAAATGTATTTTAATGTAAAGTTCTTTTAAAGTTCTTTTTATTTTATTAAATTAAAAGTTGGCGCCAGTTCTTCATATCACATCTTTTGTACCAATATGAAATTTATTATTAAAAAGACTTTTGTAGATGGAAATATTTGTATAAAATTCTTTCTTTTATATAAATAAGAAAAGAGGTGCGTGAACTTGGCGTTATTTTTTTATCTTTTTTAAAAGGTAATTTTATTAGGATTTTATTAGGATCTCACAGAAGATTGTTTTGATAATTGTGTATCAAGAAGTTAAAAATATTATACTGTAATAGTATTATATTAATTTTTGCTCTTGTGTTGAAAAAGATAAATAGTGCGCGCCCAGCATACATTTGTAATGTCTAGTGTATTATAAAGTTATATATTTTAATAAAATAGCTATTTAAAAAATCATTACATAATATGATAAATACTTAATAAACGTATTAATTAATAATCGTAACTATTTATTATGATATTAACATCAAATTTAATTTTTTTTAATCCAAAGTTGGTTACACGAAATAAAATAAAATAAAAAATGTTTGTCCACAAGAAAATTGAAAAAAAGATTGTTTGGAGTGTCACACTTTCATATATAAATTATCAATGTTACATGAATGATATAAACAATATTAAAATCGAGTAACACAGCCAGTTTCTCGGCAAGCAAGATCTTGATAGCTAAATTTTTGTAATAAATTCAAATAATTATATCGTCAACTATGTGCCATTTAAATAGTCGACCAACGTAGTGGTTCAATAATAATTCGATAATCAAATAATTTGATATCGATTAAAATCTCTTTGTTATCCTCCCTGGAATTACTTCCTTGCCGAGAAACTAATTGTGTTACTCGATGTTGTTTGTTAACATTTGCTCGGCTATCAATGAATATTAAAATCATTTTTTATCTTTAAATTATAAATTTTTTTCGTAAATTTTTGCACACATATAAGATTATATATAAGATTTTTTTTTTACATAATACATACCTCAGTAAAGTTAGCAAAAGATGTCTTTTTCGTTCCAATTCGTACTACTTGTGGTGGACGCATAACAAACTTCTGTTTCTTACCAGCCACCATATCAGGATTCTTTTCTCGCATGATGTTAAATACTCTAACTAATAATTCATCATATGTATAATCTCTATCCAAACCAACCCACAAACTTGGTTCCTCCACTAAAGAAAAGACAAATATATTTCTATTAAATCATTTATAAATATATTTCTATTAAAAAGAGTTGTTTATAAATTCCTATATGTAACATCCCAGTTAGCAAAGTATATTGCTGGCATATTGCTAAAAATATATTAGCAATATGCCAGCAAATTAGACTTTAGAATAGACCCCTATTCATTGTATATATCCTCTTTAAACTTAGTTTATGTTTAGTTTTTATATTCTAATATTCAACTAATGTAATAGCAGAAATGCAACAGAAATTAGAAATGTAATGTAGAAATATGATAATGTCATAGTGTGATGATAGATATGTAACAGATATTACGAGAAAAGTCGTATCAACTAATGACAACAGAAATACAACAGAAATTAAGCATACATGCAATTACAAAAGTAACAGCAAAAATGCAGAAGATATTTAATTATTGAATTAATATATTAATTAATATATTAGTTAAATTGAGACGGTGATTAAATAAGAGATATTATTTCTTTAATCTTATAAGATAAGAAAAGATAATATTGAATAAATAAAATTTATTAATTTTTCATATATATATATTTTTTTTTTTCATTATTCTATTAATTCTGTCCTTGTACAATTTAGAAATCAATATCACAATAACTATTGAATTGCATATGTTATGTTAGATTTTCACTAATTGAAAATATTGCTATCACTGTTTCAGCCACACTGATTTTATAGCATAATCTTATAATTTAACTGCTTATCATTATTATAGTTACAATGTATTTATAAAACTTTTTTTTAAAAACATGTTTTGGTTATTTGGTTTAAAGTTCAAAATAAATTCTATTGAAATTTGTATAATTTTCTTATATACATTTAAATTGGATAATGTTACTATAACAATATTAATAGAACTTTTGTATACTGTTAATGAAACAACAATATAATAGACTTTTCTTCAAAAATTTCATTCTGGAGATTTTTCTTTGTAAAGTGAGTTATATGGTAAATTCAGTTCATAATAATATTTTAAGAAACTTAGTAGAAGATTTTTATCAATCAATAAGAGAATTTGCTAAAAAAATGAATATTGATAATTTATGATACGTCATTTTCCTGCAATTGGTAGAACAAAAAGAGTAAATAAGAATGGATATCATATAAATTTAATCGATTGCAAGAAGTTATAAAGGAATGAATATATATGAATTATATGAATATATATTCATCATTACTGATTCGTCTCAAATGATATTCATTTTTCGATCAGAACGACATTTGTGGAAAAAAAAGATTCTTTACAACAATCGTAAACAATTTTCACGATTTTACATTTTCATATCTTAATAAAAAGATCAGCTCCACAATTATGTTCCAAAATCGAAATTATATAAATTTCAGTAGAATTCATTTTTTAAATTTTAAATAAAACAATCAAAATGCGTTTTCAGAAAAAATTTTATAAGCATGATATAGTGACAAGCAATTGTATATAAGATTATATTACAAATCAATATGACTAAAACAGTGATACTAATATTTTCAATTAGCAAAAATCCGATTTTATGCACCAATTTAATTTCATTGGAAATAAAAAAACTTTATTAAATTATAAAAGTATAATTTAATAAAATTATGTGATTATACAAATTAACAAATTTTATATACAAGAAATAGATGCTATCTAGCAACAGTTCTATAATTATTATTCACTTAGTGACAGCACAGATCTTACCATATTTTTGCTCTCACACGATGCAACACATCATACTTTTTTTCTATAAATCTGTTATAGCGATCTTTCAAATTTGACTTCTAATAGTTTTCTACTGCTAGATGATAGAAAACAATGTTTTAGTTTTTAAACTTTTTACTAATATGTTAACATGCTATACTCTAAATCTGCTCTTTCCCTGTTAATCAATTAAATTCAATTTTTTCATTACATCATAATGCATATCAATTTGATTTTCATTGTTGTTTTCTATCACTATTAGTTAAAACAACTATCAATATTAGACTGGAAATTGTTAAAATTTTGCTGCTATTTTATTGACACAAAATATGACACAATATGTAGTATAAATAACTGCAAGATATGATCTTAGCAATTTTAGCTAATCTGGGATTGTTATAATTGAACAGACAAGTGCAATTGAGAACAATACTTAATGTTATTAACTATTTAAAAAATGACAAAACAATAAATAAAGAGAACAAAAAATGTAATTTAATATTTTTTAAATAAAGATATTAAAAATTATTATTCAAGTAAGTATAAATTCAGAGATTACTATATCTTTTTTTTAAATCAGATATTAAAAGTTTTCTATCATTACATAGTTTATTTTAGTTAATTTTTAATTCCTTATTATAGATACATAAAATGAATACATTAATAGAAAAATTCATACACTTTGCATTATATATGGAACTAAATTAAAGTTTTTAAATTGTTTATTTTTATAATTATTAGAATAAATAAATAAAGAAAATGTTACAACATATTTTTCTTATATAGTTTAATAAATTTAAACTTAAATCTTGAATTTGAATCAAGTAAAAAAAAGCCATTTTTCACTAAAAATATAGAATATTTATGGTACGTTATATTCGTTTATTAATAAAAAGCAATTACAAAGTTATTAGAATATATTATCTTATCAAAAACTATGTAATAAATATGCAAAAAAATTTAGATGTAACAATTTTTTATTTTTTTTACTTTATAAATAATTTTAATATGATAATAGTTAAAAGTTTGAATATTAATGCATCACTAAATTTTTGAATTATAAGGAAACTAACAATATAAATAACATATAAAGTAGAATAGGATAGATGATACAATTGAATTGAACAGGAGATTATCCGACATGAACTGACCACATTACAATATCAATATTCTTTTATAAGTACCATTTTTTAAAATAAGATCATAATTTCTTTTTATACTATTCTCCTAATTTTTCTAGATAAAGTAAAAAATATCAAGAAAAATTATCAAAAATTAATAGTTTATTCTAATTTTGATATGAAATATAAAATTTTTCACATTTACTTATGTTTTTAATTATGCACAAAATAATAAGACGAAATCAATTAGTAAGAAAATTATAGTCATTTTTATAATAGAAATATATAGTCATTTTTAAAAAAATAATGTATTTATATATTGTAAATTGAATAAATTTTTAAAAGCATTATATATCTTCTTTTTTTACTAATTTTTTTACTAATTTTTACTAATTTATTCGTTTCACTACTTCGTATACAAAAATATCAAAATGTGATTATAAAGAAATAAATAATTTACGATATTTTTATATAATTTATATATAATTTACGAAGAAGAAGAAGAAGAAGAAGGGACAAAATATTGACAGAGCTCATTTGTAGAACTTATACCATAATCATATATTTCTTTAATCCTCCAAGTCACAACTGGGGATTGGAAAATCCAAACAATTTTTAATTTTGAATTATTCAATAAACAGTAAACAAGGATTTGCTTCCTTCTCTAAAAAAAAAAAAGTTGCTACTGATGACTGGCCAAAAATCTATTTTTTTAATTTTTAAATATTTTTTAAAAGAATATAACTTTAAAAATATAGCTTTAAACTGCTGCGTTGAAAGTCTGTTAATAAGTAATGTAATTTGTGATATTAATGATGATTCCAAATTTATAGATAGAAATTCAATTAAGGAAAATGGAAGATTATAAGATATTTAAGATATTGTCTTCCGAGTGATACCATCTATTATTCCATTTAAAGAGTAAAAATTTTTTTTCTAAATCATTTCTAAGAAAATAATTTTACTTCAAAATATTAAAAAAATAATTTTTTTTAATTAGTTTAAATTAAAATAGTTTTTTCCTAACATTAAAATAAACGTTTGTTTTTTTTTTTAATTAAAAGTAAAAGGCGTTTATATTTTTTAACATATCTAAAAACGTCTTTAAAAATGTTTCTTAAAAGTTTTTAAAAACCTTGACCAAGTAAAATTTTTTGAAATATGTTGATAAAATAAGCGAAGATAATTATATCAGAAAATATACGGCAAGAAATTTTAGATGCATATCTAGAGGTATTTACAAGACGATATTTTCGAACATATTCTATGAGTAGATGTTTCTAAATATTTTTGCTATAAAATGTTTTCTCTATTATCTTTATTATAATAGCATATAATAATAAATAAAAATATTTTATGACATTTGTCAAATTCCTCTAACTGTCCTTTAAAAGATAAACTTAGAAAGAACTGGGGTTCCATAAAGAAAATTAAAGTAACGTTATTAAAAATTTCATTAAAAAAAAGTTGCAAAAAAACATGTCAATTCATAAACTTAAAAAAAAGAAAGAAAAAATCAAGTAGAGACAGGAACAATTAATTACCATCAAGTTGTATTGTTCACGTCCTTGTATAATGCGACCCGAAATTCACGATTAAAAATACTGTAGCAAGAAAGTTTCGAAAAATTAAGTCAAAAAGTTATTTATAACTTTTTATTTCAAGGAGTTATTTTTAAAATATAGATGTTTATAATTAATCGACTACATATTAACATTAATGCTTCAAGGATGCAGTCATAGATTATTGCACGCGTCATTAACATATAAATAATTGACTAAATGTAGTTTCTAATTGGCTAATTATAAATCCATATATCTTAAAATCTATAGCTTAAAAAAAAGTTATAAACAATTTGACTCAAACTTTCGAAAACAACTTTACTTCAAATTGCAAATTTCAAAAATCCTTTATACACGTGTATACAGAATGTTTTATTTTGAACGATACAGTGGATTATCTCATAATAATTCAGAAAAAATAGACAAGATGAAGGACAAAGATGAAGGATTTCGAAGAGGCAACATAATCATGATATTGATTTATTCGCAAATGAAATTGGCCTTCAAAATTTTTTCTTTCCATTTTTTAAAATAAAATTTTCAAAAATAAAAAATAATGCTATGTTCACGCATCTCTAATTATTTTCTTTGTAAAAAGTCTATTTTATTTAAACATACCAGTAAATAAACTATTTTATTATTTCTAAGTGAGTTCTAAGTAAAAGTTGATATAAAAAATATAATAACACTAACTTGTTATAGCGTAAAATAAAAAAGGATCTCATAAATAAAAAAATTTTATTATAGAAAACTAATGTCACATAGTTGGTAGAAAAATCTAATATAATTATTGTATTTGCATACATATACTATAAGAATTTTGAAAGAGTATTGAAACTAAATTAATAAAAAAGATCTAATGTTAAAAATTACTGCCAACTTATAATTGTCAGTAAAATTTAATATAATTATCACCCTTATAATCATGTACTATGAAAAATATAATTAACAAAAACTTAAGATAGATCTCTTATTTCAGTTTTATGGTTTATGTCATAGGAGAAATGATGTACAGTAATTTCGAAGATGTATAGCTTTATCTTTTAATTTTCCTTTAAAAATATAATAATTTCGTGATCTTGAAACTTAATTAATTTGAGTCGCGAAAGTTTTTTTTTTTAATTCCGTAGAGTGTAATTTTATAAAATTTTCGACGTTTAAATTCTTCTTGAATTTGTTCATCTTGCTCTTTAATGTATTTAAAGCATCTAAAGCATCTTTGATGAATATCAATTTATAGAAATGAAAGAAGTAAAAGAAAAGTTTTACTCTTTAAAATAATTCCATACAGATTGTTGTATGATCTTTTTACAAAATTATGACGACTTCAATTCTAATGGTTTAATTGTATTAAAAATTTCAAATTCGAATGTGCATATTTTTACAGAAAATAAAATTTTAAAAATTTTCTTCCAAGGAAAGTAATCCAAGAGTGACAAATATAAAAAATCGCTTACTTTTTAATTTCAGATAATTTATCGGGGCAGAATCGTAGCTCGATACAATACGGAAAAGGATTTGCTATTCAGAACTGATTCGAAACAATCTTAAGTCTTAAAATGTCGTAAATGTAATTATAAAAGAGCATCTTAAGATATTACTTATAAATACCAGCTGACAATTAGATACAAAGGAGCGAGAAGCGCGTCCCTATTCTGAGCGCCACATAGTTAAGAGCATTTCTTCGTCAACTT